TCATTGTTCTTCTGCACTTGAGCATACTATAAATAACTTGTTTGCTGTTTCTCCTGTCTTGAATAGAACTTAGCAGTGAGAAAAATGAATGTTAACTTTTTTCTCAATATGAACTGATGATTGTTAATTCCTGAAAATGCTGTCACTCTAATTTTATATTTTCTGTCAAATGAAGATCTGAAAAAGTTGTTTTATGCATTCTGGATCCATATAACAGACTCTGGAAGGTCTCTGAGTCACAGTTTCCCCCCATGGAAGTAACTTGATTCTCTAAGAGGAATATGTGGCACGATTTGCTTTGATGAGGTATTCTATAGCTCCTTATTATCTTCATACAGCCTCCTTGGGCATTTGGGAAAGCCAGAGGAGGCCTCCAACAGATGATTGGAAAGATTGGAACAAGTTCTCCACTTGGACCATGTCTGCGCAGAAGCCTTTTCCAAGGTTCATAAGTGCTGGAAAAGGCGGTGGAAAAGCAGAAGGTGCAGGAACAGATTGCAGAGGATATAAGTCAATGTGTTGTTTTTTTCTTTTTAAACAAAGCATATGAGATAACTCAATCTTGAATAAATGTTTTACATGTCCTATACTAAAGACAGTAATGTAAGCAAGTCCTTGTTCAAATGAAAAACTTCTGCCATTTCCTATGCTCAGTAAAACTTTATAAATTAGCAAAACTATATTCAAGGAGCACTTAAAGAATATATTTAAAGCAATGCCTTTAACATGACCATGATCTAAAACTGTAAAAGCATCTACATCCCATCCTTTAACTTCAGGTATCAAGGAATGAGATTTCCTATATTATCAAAACTTCTGCACATAAATGAAATAAATGTATAAATTATATTTCTGTTAGGAAGGATTAATAGAAGGCAAAGTTTCACTTAATTAAATGCAGACAAATAAGCTTGCAAAATATACGTCTGGTGTATAACTTGAGTAGGAGAGTTACAATCTAAACAGATCCCATTTTTCAAATCAAATCCAATCAAATCCTTTATTACAAATCAGTAACCCAGACTAAATACAGAATGCAACCAACAAAGTAAAATTACCTTGGCATCCTTAAAATATTGAACATAAAATTCTTCATCCCATCCCAGAAATGGGGTTAGGAGAGGTGTTAGTAGCTCTTTACATATGTCTCAATAAAAGTTGCAATACAACAGAATATGAGTTCATGTTTCAGTGTTGCCATCTCTACAAATTTGGATTCAAATCACCTTCAACTATCATATGGTCCACGGATTGATGTAAAATTCATGAAAACTTCTCCTACAAAAGCATCTTCTACCAAAAAAACAACCAGTTTCTATTGCCACCTTTTAACTTAGTTGACACTTGTCTGCTTAAGCTGGATACTCCAACCCTTTTATGGTCTATGCACAATTAAGACATTTAGCAACCCAGATACAAGGGAACAAAATACCAAGTGTAAGAAAAAAGCTCCTTTTTCTTCAACAAGAACGTAATGAGATCAAATATTTTTAAGCATCCATACAATTATCGCATCATTTCTGAATGCCATTTGATTGTTTCAAACAAAGATGGCTGGAAACCTGATAAGAGATTAAAGACTTCTTTCAAATCATAAGTCTATGGTGTGACGTTTTCTCTGTGGTGGATCTTCCTCGCTGTGGTATGAGGAAAATGTGTTTCCCCACTCAGTTCCTTCAGTGGATCAGATCGTCTGTAAGATTTCATTCCTCAAGGCAAAACTAAGGAAATGGCTGAAGCTTCTCAGTTGGACAAAAAAGGAGAAGCTGGAACACCATGAACTCCCTGAACATCTAGCTGATAATTTTCAGGCAAAGTCAATATTTCCTGTGCTTCTGTAGAGAGCACTGGCTGGAATTCTTGGCTTCTTCTTGGCTTGGCAGGAATGAGACTCCAGGGACTCTCTTTTATCCTGAAGAATGTTGTCCTTAGTAGCAAATTATGATCTATAACATTTCCCCTGATCTTCTGTTTCTTTAGTCACCTCCATTCTAGTGTTAACCGTGCCTATTAGCTTTATGTAGTGTTGTGATTATTAGCTTTTACATTCTCTCTCATCTCCCCAAAAAATAGCAATCACCTTTTTCTTAGTAGCTGCTGAAATATTTGTTTTAGAGCGGAAAGATGGAACAAAACCTTTTTGGAGCACAACCCAAATAAATAACGAGCAAACCCCACCCCCACCCCCAACAATCAAATCACCACCTGGTTCTAGTTTTGATAGCAATAATTAGAATCATAAATTTTAAAAAGTATTACCTTCTGCAAATAACAAGGCTTTAAAGGCTCTTATTTTGTTTCAGAGTAACACTAAACCCGTGTCCACAAGGAGCCCGGCTATAAGCTGCTATCAGCTTATGGGTGCTGCTTGAATGCACCCATGCAAACTCTGGTTCAAGGCCAGAAAAGGTATTGTAATGGGTAACTCACTGAACCAGCCTCACTTCATGTCAGGAAGAGCAACTGTTGGATGTTCCTCCTGATGACTGGTGAGATGTGGTGGGATGAGAAACAAAGCTAGGGTAACCCTCCAATCACTTTCCTTAGCTTGTTCTTCAGTAAATCTGTAAGGACAGCAGCTGTCATTGGCCTATCATCAAGGCAAAGTAGGGCTTGGAAATTAAGGCAGTGCAAAGTGTGCAAGGAAAACTTTCTGCTGCCTCAGGGACAAGAAGAAAACACAGGGGAAAGGAGAGCAGTAAGTAGTGGTGATGTAGTTTACATGCTCTGTTGACCCTGTGTATTTCATGTGTTTGCAGACCTTGTAACTCTCCCTCCACCCAGAATCTTGAGTTCACAGAGCAACCCAGAGCCCAGGGGTAGAGCTGTAAAGTAACTCTAAGCTATTGTATGGTCCTTTGTATTTTTTAGATACTTACGCAGGGAGGTAGCTGGTCTTCAGTTAAGGGATCTGGCATTATCTTTCAGTAGAGTGGACCAAGCTTTCTTATCTCTTCCTGTGCCCAAGATCATTTTGTATCCACAGATTTTGGTCCTTAAAAATGTCCCATATGAATAAAACAAAAATTGTTCCTTCTTATTCTTTCCACTAAAAAGAGTTTATTTTGCTATTGGCATCATAAACTTCACCTTACGTAAGAATATCTAACACCGCTAGATGTCACCAACTTCCCATGAAAAGATTCTACACATTAAACATACACGGGATCTGTAATAGAAAAGAATACCACTTGCTTTTTGCTGTCTGCTATCGATTTTTAATGTTCCAGTTCATTTAAACTGCGTGGCAGAATGTATGTATGTATGTATTTATGCTGTATTTGCTGCCCACTCCAGTTTGTGGCTTCAAGAGGATTCCGGTAAAATGGAAATAGCAATAATAATCGAAATAGCTAATGAAGTCTTGACACATTGGTTAGAACTACCCTAAGCAAAGCCTAACTGTGTGGCCATTGTAGGATGTCCTGAAGGGAAGCTGGAGATGATAGAAGTAGATTTTGCCCTCCCCCCACCACCTTTTTTCTTCCTTGAGGGGGAAGTCCTCTTTTTTCCTCTCTTGGGCAGCAGGGAATTCTGTAGATTTTTCTCTGAGCAGATTTCTGCAATCATCTTTCAGAAGGATGTCTCTGCAAGACAAATGGTGGAATCCCATCTTTGAGACAGGATTGCCCTTTGAATCACTTTGGCCAAAAGCTTGAGTTTTGACTGAGTGTCCACCTATGTTTAAACCAGCAAGGACTTCAAGATGGGTCAAAACAGGCAAAAGAGCAGTTGCAATACTGCAATCAAAGGCCTGTCCCCTTTTACAATCCAAGCAACAGAGATTATTTTTCACCAATTATCATATTGCCATGATATCAAAGGACAATTGCTTGGAAATGTCTTTTGACTACAATCTGATAGTCATTTTTCTTGGAATAATCCCCATTGAATTAAACAGGATTTACTTTTGAGATATTTATAGGTTTTGGCCAGAAGATAGGTATAATTCAGTTGATGTATACGCAGAAAGAGCAACTGAAGAGACCTTCATGACTTTTTTATTTCTAGAATATATACAAAAATTTTTTACAAATCCAAGGTGACTGTAACAAAAATCCAATGTAATGGAAAAATTAGGAAGTAGGAAAGTCAACTAAAGTATGCCTAATGAAAGATAAAGCCATTAAAAAATCAGGTATTTATTTACAGCATTTATTTACAGGGTTTTCTTCACAAAACCCAAATGCAAGCAGTTGAAATCAAAATTAAGCATCCATAATTTATTGAAACAGAGATGGTGCACATGGATGCGGCTCATTCTAGTGATCTAGTCTATCCTTACCTTACTAATTAGCATTATGGGAAAGCCCTGATTGTCAGGGGAGGTCAATAGTTCTTTGCTTGCTTGCTTGTTTGAATATTTATTTAACAAACCTAGGTAGCTACCGGGAGGGTGGTGGTGAATAGAGTAAAAACACAGTACACTAAAAAAGGCAATTTAGAACAATAAACCATGTTGGGGCCCTGATAGAACTCTCATGGGCCCCATACCAGCTCCCTCAACATCCTGGTCCCAGTGCCTGGGGGAAGAGCCAGGTCCTCATTGTTTTCTCGAAAGCCAACAGAGCCAGGGCCATCTGTTATCTCCAGCGGAGGCTGTTCCCTAAGGCAGACTCCATGACAGAGAAGTTACACTCCCAAGGCCCAACTGATGACCTTGTTTCACAGACGGGGCCTGGAGCATTGCCACCCTGCCAAATCAATAGCATGGGCAGAAACCGTTGGGAATGGGCAGTCCTGCAAGTAACTTGGCCCCATGCCATGGAGGCCTTTTAGGTGATGACCAGCACCTTGAGTTGCACTTGGAAGCCTACCAGGAGCCACTGCAGCTCGTCCAGCAGTGGTATTACATGGGTGTACTTCGGTGTACCTGCTACTGCCCACGCTGCTGCTTTTTAGACCAGCTGCAGCTTCTGAATGCTCTTCAAGGGCAGCCCATGTAGAGTGCATTGCTACAGTCCAATTAGGAAGTGACTAAGGCATGAGTGACCACGAGCAGGGCTTCCTAATCTAGGAAAGGGTGCGAGTGGCACACAAGATGTATTTATGCAAAGGCCCTCCTGGCCATGGCTGCTCCTGCTCTTCAAGTAAGAACCATGAGCTCAGGAGAACTCCCAGAGTGTGCACCAGCTCGGACTGGGAGAGTGCCACCTCATCCCCAGTGAAAGATGGCAAATCACAAAATACGGGGGAACATAAAAACCATAGCCATCAGATTTGAAGCAAATCGTTCCCCATCCATGCAGTTCCTGTAAGAAAAAAGTTAGTAGATTACTCTCCCAACAGAACAAATGGAAAGTGGACATAAGGAATAAGAGTGTGAAAGCTGTTTTGAACCAACTGAAAAGAATTACATTGCAAAATATTGTAAGAGTGTAGAGGCTATGCATGAGAAAAAAATGCATGAAACAGAATGTTGCAAAAACTGAGGATGAGAGAAATATATTGTGCGTACATATAGCAAAAAAAAGTTGCAAAGAATATAGTGAAAGAGTAAGGGATGCTTAAGGGTAAAGGAAGAAAAAATGTAAAGTAATAGAAATTTTTAAACAATTAATTGGAAGTAAGGGAAGAACCCAAAACAAATCTCTAGCAGAGCGAATGGAATTAGAAATAAAGTTGATAAAATTATTTGGGATGAAACTGAAGTCAGGGAACGCTGGAAGGCCTATTTTATAGACTTGAATAGGAATGATAATGACATGTCAAAGAGTGTAATGGAAATGAATGCTATAAATGTGAGTGTCTATGAAAACTAAGATTGATGAAAATGAGAACGCTGGGGGCAAGGCAACAGGTTACTCTGTAAAATTGGATGTATTTTAAAAACATGGATGTGGTTTGCTTATGGATCTATATGACTGAATGTATATATGAAGGCTGCTTCTGTGTTTGACAATTAGAAGAATGCTGTTATTCTTTGTACAGGTAGTCCTCACTTAACAACCATTCATTTAGTGACCGTTTGAAGTTACAACAGTGCTGAACCAAGGGACTTACAACCGGTCCTCGCACTTACAACCATCACAGTACCCTCGTGGTTACATGATCACGATCCGGGCACTTGGCAACCAGCTCGACTTACAACGGTTGCAGCATCCCAGGGTCATGTGATTGCCATCTGTAACCTTCCCAGCCAGCTTCCAGCAAGCAAAATCAATGGGGAACCACGTGATTTGCTTAATGACCACATGATTTGCTTAATGGCCACAGTGATTCACTTAATGACCGCTGCAAAAAAGATCATAAAATCAGGCGCAACTTGCTTAACAACCCCCTGCTTAACATTGAATTTTCTGGTCCCTATTGTGGTTGTTAAGCAAGGACTACCTGTATAAAGAAAAAAAGTAACAAGAATGAATGCAAAAGCTACTAATTTTGCATTTTGCAATGAGTTTTTGAGGTGTGCATGAGAAGGTGTTTGACAGAATTCAGATTGAATTGGTGACAACAAGCAAGTTTGGAAAGTAGAGGGTGGCCTTATGCCATGCACATGTATACAGACCAGACCAGTTTGCTCTACAACTGATCACTGAGAAATATATGAATGTAAAAAAAAAAGTGTATTTTACATTTGTTGATTTAGAAAGTGTGTCTGGTTAAGTGAATAGGCTTAAGGTATGGAACAGTCTGTGCAAATATGGAGTTGTTGCTGAATATAAGAGCAGTATATGATGGAAATAAAGAATGCATGAGAATAAATGGAATACAGTGGTACCTTGGTTCACGAACTTAATTCGTTCCGCGACTCTGGTCGTGAACCGAATTGGTCATGAACCGAATCAAATTTTCC